CAGGGGGTCGGGCGGGCCTCTAAGTCCCACGGCAGGCCCCTAGGACGAGGGCTGCCCACCCCAGTGCGAAGGGGTGAGGAGGGGAGGGGAGCTGCGGCAGAGCCCGGTTCTCTTTCCCGCCTCCCTGGTGTCGGCTAGGGCTCTTTGCCCAGGGGAGGGGCCTTCCCACACGAGCGGAAGGTGAGGGGCCTTCCCACACGAGCGGTGAAGGGGGAGGGCAGCGCGGCGAAAAGCTCTTGGGCCTGCTGCGCTCTGTGCCTTGCTGTAGGTCAAACTCCAGCCTGTTGCTCGTCCTACGCGAGGCCGGCATTTTTTGCCCTTGCAGAGGCAAGGGCCTATCCTGCTCGAAAATGTCCTCTCTAGCCTGTAGAACTTCTTGTTTTGCGTGGTGCAGGCACAGGTTTCCCCTGCAGGAAGAGCTTTGTGCAAAAGCCGATGTGACCTTAGGCTGCTGGAAGCCCAAGGACACATGCAGGCCGCTTGTGAAAGAGGATTCATTCATTTGTGCCTCGCTAGATTTAAAACTCTAGCTTATGACTGTGCATTTAACAACTTTGGAATTAATTTGATGGCTTTTATTTTTTTCGTTTCGAAATGTGTATCACTGTCTGCTGGTTTATCTGACTTTTTTGTTGCTGTTTTGCTACATTTTCTGTCAGTATAACACATGTACAGATTCGTTGAACGATGTAGCTATTTGCAATAACGTCTCCTCAAAATGGTGCTATCAAATTGCATGGCAGCATTTGCTTCTGTATCCATTATTGTATATCCAGCTATGCAAAGGTTGCTGTCTTTCAAGTAAGAAATGGCTTAGTAGATAATAGCCTTATAATCTTGTATGGGAACAGCTGTGATCAAATGTTTCTTTTTTTTTAATAGCTTTTTTCCTCCTCTTGCAGATCCGTGCTGGATCAAGAGTCTTGTACAGACCAATTTCGGCATCTGTGTTGTCTAGGCCAGAGGTCAAGAATGGAGAGGTACCTTATAAACAAAATTCTGTATCTTCCTAAATTATCTGGTGAGCCTAAATGTCCTCAACCTAGAGTTCACTTGTACTAACTCAAATACCTATAGTGTGAAACATGCTTGAAGTCAAACACCTAATAATACTTGTTGCTCTCTTGCTGTTTCCCCTGAGAAGTCTTTCACATTTAAAGTTGATTGTTTTCAGGTGGAAGAGAGGTGATGTTCTCAAGTTTTTAACTTTTAGCTATAGTCTCATCACTTGCAAGAGGAACTGGATGTTGGATCTAATACAACTTTTAAAACTGCAGAATAACACTATCAAAGTGGTCATAGAAAATGGTCTGTGTCTGAATATAATGCTTCTTCATGTTTTGTTTTCTTAGGGCAACTCAACACTTAATGGGGCTCAAAAGGCTGTCTCCCAACTAGCACTTAGAGAATTCCAGACTAGTGCTATCAGCAGGGACATTGACACTGCTGCCAAATTTATTGGTGCTGGTGCTGCCACAGTAGGTGTGGCTGGTTCTGGTGCTGGTATTGGAACAGTCTTCGGTAGCCTAATCATTGGATATGCCAGGTAATCAATCTCTTTCTTATAAAACTCTTGAATTGCATGCAGATGTATCTTGAGACAGCACCCTCAGATAAGCTAAGTTGTAGTAACCATGATGGCGCTGTTATAAATTCTGTTAATAATTATTATTAATGATAAACATGGCTAAATAGAATCATATGAAACTGTAGTATATTCATCAGGATGGCTCTGTTGTTAAATTCAGAACTTTGTACGCTATCTGAAGAACAGATGTGAAAGAAATGAGATCATTAGACTTGGTCAGTGTTTTGGTCACTGAAGTCCAATGTTTCAGCATTCGGTTCCAGAGCTGAATTAAAAATCTAGCCTGGATCTTTTCCCATGTGAGGAGAGAAGTCCTAAGGGGAAAACTCTGTGACAGCTGGTAATAACTAATGTGAGTTTGTATGCTTTAGACTTTGCAGTCAGAATTGTTGTTTAGAAATGGATGCTTAATTCAGTTTTCTAACACGTTCAGCTTTGCATGTCAGAATATGTAATTACTTCATCGAATGAGTAATTAATTATTCCTTCTAGAAATCTGAAGGAGATGGGGGGGGGATTTTGTAGTAGGGATGAACTTCTGCCAGATAAGTTTACAATGTTCCTGTAGTAGGAATAGTTCACATGCTATCATGGAAGAGCAGAACTGGTAGAGGCATAGAACTTTACTGAAGGTTTCATGTTCTTCACTACTCTTTCAACCAGTTAATATTTAATTAAGTCTTACTTCTTAATAAAGATTTTTAAGCCCTACTGAAGACAAGGAAGTTCACTTTTTACTTGAACAAACATAAGTGTTTTCAGTATAGAGCTAAATTCTCCTTTTTTTGAATGTGTCAATACGAGGTTGTGGAACATTACTCCACAGTATTATGTTGAAGTTTTTTTTTCCTCTCCAACACACTTCTTGGAGGGATAATTCATTATATTTTTGTGACAAACTGCTGAGTATTTCTTTTTTTTGCTCTAGGTGGTTTCAATTCCTATGTTTGTCTGAGAGCTGCTTAAAATGTTATAAACTTCCTTGGAATATAGTTCTAATGTCACAGATGTGAAATAAATTTATAAAGCATAGTGCTGATAGTTCCTGCGTGGGAGGATGTAGAGACGTCAAATTCAAAAGCATATATGAAGATAGTCAGAAAAACTGTGCTTATTTAGAAAAGCCGTATACAATCTGCATAACCTCAGTCTAGCCTTAATGGCCAACTCATTTGTCTTCAGTGAAATACTTGCTAAAATTACTTCTGCTTGGCTTTATTGGATTTTCCTGTTACAGAATCTGTGGCAAGGAAGTATCAGGTTCTGAATCTGTCAGATGCATTGAATGATATGGAAAACACCTTAATTGTAAAGATAAAAAGGTCTTACACCTTCACTTTCTTTTAGAAATCCTTCTCTGAAGCAGCAGCTGTTCTCATACGCTATCCTGGGATTCGCCCTGTCTGAAGCTATGGGTCTCTTCTGTCTGATGGTTGCTTTCTTGATCCTATTTGCCATGTGAATGGAGATCTGCCTGTAATATTGGCATTTGAATGTAACTGCATTTTATGGGACTCCCAAAATGTTGGTGTCATGGAAATTGATGCTATTTCCAAAGTCATTTCATTAAAGATAACAACTTTAACTGTCAACCTGTTGCCTGCGTTTATTGCCTTTCTCGCTAAGATACCTGGAAGACAGCGTCTTGTCATTCAGTCACCATGGATTTCTCCCAATAATGATATATTGCATAGGACCCTTCAAACAATGACTTCAAGTCATACATTTTATTTATTAATATATATGGGCAGGTTGCTTGTTTGTTAAAATTAATGTGGCATATCTTTGAAAGAACAAAGGATACACAGATTAAATGTGAAAGGCTGTACTGCTGGCTTTGTTCCTTCACTTGTGTTTCAAACTTAGCCAGAGCTGTTCCTGTGCACAATTTGTTTTTTTTTCTCAGGCTGGCTGGCACATAAGGTGTTCTGGCACCTGTTGGTGCTAAACACAAATCCACAAACAGTGATAGGAAAGTTCTCTTTGCATCAGTTTTCAGTTACGCTATAAATTTTGATCACAATGGTAAAAGTTTTCCACTTGGTTCTGACCAGTGTCCCTGTTGAATTAAACTAACAACTGCTTTAGGTTGGTCCAAGGCATTTAATTGTGGCATATTGATACTATACTCTTGCTTAGTTACTGCGTTCTTTGCATCACCTAATTAAAAGGGAGAACTTCCAGCTTCCTGATTTGTAAAGCCAGCCTTGCGTTACCTCTTAAATCTTTTAGGAGCAGTAGGATCAAAGCATTTTTATTAGGAAATACCTAGAAGTATCAAGCTTTGCTTCTTACAGCATCTGTCTTTTAACAATCTAAATGCGTTTATGGTGTTGTCTACACTTACAGCAACATGCTATGTGCTGCTATATACTAATCTGGTGGGGCATCTTAAACTTTATTCAGAATATTAAATAATAGATCTGATCATTTGACAAATATAAGCCGAACTTTGGAAGAATGTGAGCAAGCTTGTTACAAGCTTTGTCATCTTGCTGTGAAATGGATAATTAATGAATTAAATCTAGGAAACTTCTTACTGTAAGCTGCCTGTCCCTAGGGAAATGGAGAAATGACTAGTGGCTCTCAGATCAGTGCAAGGTACAGGCAAGACCTTTGTTTTCATCTGAATTCAAGTACCAAACTGGGGTTCATAGAGACATGGTTTTGTGGTGGACTTGGCAGTGTTAGGTTAATGGCTGGACTCGATCTTAAAGGTCTTTTCCAACCTAAATGATTCTATGGTTCATGTAGCCTAACTTGGACCTATCATGAGAAGTTGATTTCCCGATATGTTCTTAGGAGAAAGTAGTCATCTTAAAAGGATTAAAAGTTACTGTGTAAATACAGAGAGCATCTTTTTATGCATGTGAGGTTTAGGAGTGTAGAATATGCAGCATCTTTGAATATTCAGTGCTAGCACAGTATTAGTAGTGCCTTATATGACTGGGTTTGGAAGTCGTTTTTTGGGGGAGTGCGAGAGGGGTAGGAGGTAAAGTGTATTGCGGCTATCTTCCAAGTGGTCTATGCTTAACGCAGTGTTTATTTTATGAACGTAACTATTACACATTCTTGTAAGCTGTTCTGTTACAGAGCTGACATACAGTGCATTTGCCCTGGATGAAAGGTAGATAATGATTACTAGAATTCTAGGCTAAAGCTGATCTGTGTACTGCTGTCCTGGTAGGCGATGAACTTCGTTCTGTTCTCTCAGTACTGTAGAGATCACTGCAGGCATCTGAGGTGGCAATCCATATTTCCTAATACCATGGACTAACCTAGTGGGCTAGCTTAGTTCAAGCTTCTGATTTCTGTATCACTGCGATTTGGCCAAACAAGGATCTTCAAACTTGTCTTGGTCAAGTCTTGCTCCAGCTCTGTTAATTGTACTTACCAATTTGTTTGCCTATAAAATGGTTCTGCCGAGTTGTAATTATGTGTTTGGTGTAGAAAGAAGATCTAGCTAATCTATTGCTCTGTAACCTCAATGAGAAAGCCACCATGAGTTACTTGAATCAAGTTTGAATGATTATTTCTAGATTTACATCCCATTTTTTTTCCAAGTGGTTCACCCTGTCAACATGTACTCTTTACTGTATGATCAGCCTTGTCTGAAAGGCAGCAGATGTCTCAGGTGACCCTTGTGTGTTGATGCGAAGCTTGTCTGTTTTAGTGGTAATGTCTCCCCAAGCTTGTTACCTTTTAACTCACTCTTGGACTGGTGAACATGGGCCAAACCCAAGCAAAATTGCCGTTTGGTTATGCCAGTCTTGAAAGAATTGGATCTTGGTGTTACAGATAAACACTAATCAAGGACTTGCAAAACATGGCAACAAACCTTCACGCAGAGGATTATCCTCCTTATAGACGATAAGGGGCTTAGAATTGGTGAGTGATGGGAGCGTTTTCACATCTGAATGATCACAGGGCACATTGACTCCCTTTCTCTATTCCCCTGTTTTTCATGTTCTTGAAAAACAGAGCTTAGTTTCAGTGGTTATGTGAGCACTTTAACAGCGTGGTCAATTTGAGTGGTCTTAGAAAGACAAAAAATACTCTCTCTTTTCTTAAAATGCTGACAAAAGAGACAACTGTGTAAAAGATTAAATGTTTTTTACACACAAAAAAAAACCCAACCTTTTTGCAGTGATTGGGCAGCAGCAGATCAAGGATTCTTGAATCTTCGCCATAAGTTTACATCAAGAAATCTTTTTCATAGGTCAGGGAAACCAGATACAAAGTTCCATGAGGTGGTACTATAGGGTTCACTTTCCTGAAACCTTTTTCACAGTTTCTTCTGACATGGGCCGTGCTGACCTTGGAGATTGTCAACTTGTGAACATATTTTAGTTTCTCTAGATCCAAAGACTTATGTTCATGTTTCAGCGTTGAAGATGAAGCCAGCTGAAGCAGAGATCTTCATTGTCTCTGAATAACTGTTCTGCCTGCTGTCCCAGTAGGTCAGACATTATTCCACTTCTGAAAGTGATGTGCGCAACAGTGTCATCCTAATGTATAATGAAGGAAATGTTTATGTTACCAATTATGCTCTTAAGTTATTGCTGCAGGTAAAAGTGATTCACCCTTTCCATCCTGCTGCGCTTTTTTTCTTTTTCTGCTTTCTCTCTGCTTATGTTTTTGCACCAATTTCAGACTGAAGAAAGGCAAATAACTTGCAGTTCAGTTTTTTGTTCAGGTTCAGGACTGGTGCTGCCATATGATGGTAGAGCTAAACCACTGAAAAATACTTGTTTCCAATACAGCTCTTAGGTGCTCTGTGAAGAAGGAAGTAAGATCTCTGTTCTTCTCTTTTTGCACTCACGTTTGAGCCCTTTGCAACATGCTTACAGTAAAGAATAATTCCACCTCTGAGTAAACAGTGTACTCTTATGCAGTGATTTTTATCCTAGCCAGTCAAAGAACTTTGCGAAAGTGCTGTACAGTGCCCATGAAGACGATTTACAAGAAGTGAAACATGCCATATCGTCTTTTGCAAGTTCAGGGAAACTTCGACAATGTAGTTCACTGAACTAGTACTACTTTTTTAGAAATATTTTTTGTTACTCATAGTCTCATACTCTCGGATCAGTCTCAGACTCAGAACAAGACAGTTCCAAATGATACACAGGCACAGAATTAAAATTTCATCTGTGATTCAGAGCACATACTAGCTAAACTGTGTTGCCATATAGGATTATGGTATTTTTTTAATTAATGCAAGATGCTTCTAGTTTCTTCTGTGTAAAATTTAGGTGCTTCCCTTCACTGTACAGTGCTGCAGCATTTTTGATTCTATGTTAAATAAGGTGAATGTTTAGCAGAACCATGGCTCCAGGCTCGCACCTAGCTCCTGCCATTGAGAGTTGCGGTGTGTAAAGAGATGGGGAAACCAAAGGAGTATAGTTAGTACATGGTTTTGGAGGGCTAATTATTCCAGAAGTTAGATGTCACTGAGCAAAGCCTTGCAGTGGTTTACAGTCTCTGCCAGCTTTCTGCTGCCTTCCTCTCGCAGGAGCTGCCAGCCCTCCTGCAGAAGTAGCACCAGAACATGGGGTGCTTCATCCTCTGAGCTCCCCACCCAGCGTGGCTGCACAAATCCTCTGTCACCAGCAACTTTACCCAACGTGCTGGGTCACACACAGACATCGTTCAGCTTGGCTTTCATGGCAGATGCGTTGGCCAGTGAGGCCTTCAAAACAGCCACATCCGCTCGAGGCCCTGGCAGGGATGGAGGTTATTCCTGCTCTGACTACTGGGTAGCAGCAGGGTGCAGCTCCTCGCTGGCCGCGGGATACGGTAATGGCAGCGGGGAGCAGAACCCGCAAGTTCGGCGACGCCAGAGCTGCTGTTGGCACCATACGTTGGTCGCATGGCAGGCAGTGCCTCGGTCACCCATCCGTGGGCGGACCGAGCAGCTCGTGCTTAGCTACAGCGGCGTCGCAGCCCCCCCGCCTCGGCCACACCCAGGCGTTTGGCGCTTACGGCCACAAGGTCCC